AAGGACTTCTGTGTACCCAGAAAAGTCCATGATTTCAGGATAAAGGTCAGCACTCTCGCTTTATGGGGGGGAATTACCGCAACAGTCTCACTTTCTTGTATCGCCTGAGACTGGTAAAGACTCGCCCCTGCTATCAGGCATTCGGGGAACTGTTGTAGCCCCTGGTGCACCGGCTCCCGCAGCTAGCTGTCTGCATTCCAGTGCTTCACAGGGAGGCTATGTCTCTTTTTTTTTTTTACATCTTTATTGGAGTCTAATTGCTTTACAATGGTGTGCTAGTTTCTGCTGCATAACAAAGTGAATCAGTTATACATATACATATGTTCCCATCTCTCTTCCCTCTTGCGTCTCCCTCCCTCCCACCCTCCCTATCCCACCCCTCTAGGTGGTCACAAAGCACCGAGCTGATCTCCCTGTGCTATGCGGCTGCTTCCCACTAGCTATCTATTTTACGTTTGGTAGTGTATATATGTCCATGCCACTCTCTCACTTTGTCACAGCTTACCCTTCCCCCTCCCCATATCCTCAAGTCCATTCTCCAGTAGGTCTGTGTCTTTATTCATGCCTTACCCCTAGGTTCTTCATGACACTGGTTTTTTTTCTTAAATTGCATATATATGTGTTAGCGTACGGTATTTGTCTTTCTCTCTCTGACTTACTTCACTCTGTATGACAGAATCTAGGTCCATCCACCTCATTACAAATAGCTCAAATTCATTTCTTTTTATGGCTGAGTAATATTCCATTGTATATATGTGCCACATCTTCTTTGTCCATTCATCCGATGATGGACGCTTAGGTTGTTTCCATCTCCGGGCTATTGTAAATAGAGCTGCAGTGAACATTTTGGTACATGACTCTTTTTGAATTATGGTTTTCTCAGGGTATTAGTGGGATTGCTGGGTCCTATGGTAGTTCTATTTGTAGTTTTTTAAGGAACCTCCATACTGTTCTCCATAGTGGCTGTATCAATTTACATTCCCACCAACAGTGCAAGAGGGTCCCCTTTTCTCCACACCCTCTCCAGCATTCACTGTTTGTAGATTTTTTGATGATGGCCATTCTGACCGGTATGAGATGATATCTCACTGTAGTTTTGATTTGCATTTCTCTAGTGATTCTGTCTTTTAATTGGCCCACACGGTGGGGGGCTGGGTGGGTGGGGGGAGTGCTGGCCCCTCTCCCACCTACTCTGGAGCCCATCCCGGCCCCTCAAACTACTTTGGTTAAAGGGATTAGGACCCAAGGCTGTGGGAGGAGAGGAAGCAGACAGAAGGACTGCTGAAGCCCTGAGCACAAGCTGAGCTGCCTTGGGTCCCGGGGCCAAAGGGTGACCCTGAGTCGGGGCAAGTCCTTTGCCCTCGCCCCTGCCCTCACGTGGACTCCGTCTCCACTCTGGTGCCCCAAGGATCAGGAATCGGCTGCTGACATGGACAGTGGTGCCCTCCAGATGGGCACCTTCAACAGTGATGGGGCTGATGGCAAGGCCATTCCAGAGGCCTGGTGGGCAGATGCTACCAGGTGGGTCTAATTTTGGCCACAGGAGAGGGTGGCCCCCTTGGGGGACTTTGCAAGGAGCGGTTTGTGGCACTTGGGAGCAATAACAGGAACTCTGTGCTAATAGTGAGAGAACAGCTGTTCTGTTCTGGAATTTAGAACACATCTTCCTAAGGACATGGCGGGGTGTGACGGAAGACCAGGCTTGCTCTCAGAAGCCTATGTAACTCAGATTAGTGTAAGCCCTCCCAGCTCCATCTGTGCCTCTCCTGAACTCCCAGACTAGCCTGGTGGCCATCTGTCCATGTCACACTTCTCTTCCTAGGTCAGTGCTGAGGAAAGGTGGGTGTTTTAGGAGAGGAGCTCGTCAGGCCAAATGGTTTTCCAAGTGGTGAACATCTGCAGGATATGAGAAGTTCAGGAAGGGGTGAGGAGTAGAAGGAGGGTGGTGTGGAGACAAGGCAGGCTTGGCGGGGGGTCAGTCCCAGCACCACATGCACTGGCAATGGGGAGTGTGTGTATTCAGGGGGCACAGAATCATGGTTTCTAAGTGTAGAATTTCCTGTATGTAAATCAGCTCCACGATCAATTGCAGTTCAGCAGGGTAGCAGCTACTTGAGAGGCTCACCAAGTTCCAGGGAGGTCCTTAGCCTGGTAGGCTCAGGGCCTGATGTCATCGGTTCCCTCAGACTCACACTAACCTAACTTATAAGAGACTGAGAGACAAACCAGGCCTCGGATGAGTCATTTTACATAGGGAGAGTTATCTGGCAGGCTAACTGACCTCGGACGTTTGCAATAGTTTGACTAAAGGCCTGTTTTTTTGTTCTTTGGGTTTTATTGAGTGGGTGTCTTTTGGCACATGATAAACACGATCCTTTTCTGTTGCTTCTTGTTCCCGTGCCAGCTCCTGTGCTCATCCCCTGTTCTACAGGAGCACACTCTTTAGGCCCCGCACCATCGCCTGTTACTATTCATCCTTGCCATAGTTCAATTTGCTAGAATGGAGGCCAACACACTTTTTCTGTAAAGCGCCAGGTAGTAGCTATTTTAGGCTGTGTGGGCTCCATGGTCTCTGTTGCAACTATTCAGTTCTGCGGTGGTAGCAGAAAAACAGCCATAGACAATACAGAAACGAACGCGCGTGGCTGTGTTCCCGCCACTTCATGGATCCTGACACGTGAATTTCGTCTAAACATCCCGTCACAAAATGACCTTCTTTTGATTTTTTCAACCATTTAAAGGTACAAATACCATTCCTAGTTTGCAGGTCATACAAAAGGGCGGGTGGACTGTAGTTGACATGCAGGCCAGTGTGCCAGCCACCCCTGAGCTAGAAAACAGTCTTCCTGCATGTTACACTGTGGCCAGTGTCTTGTTGCTGGCATTGAGGTATCTCTACTACACGTTGACCAGTTAGAGTCCCAGCTGCGAGTGACTGAGATGCCTCACTTAGAGGCTGCATTTTCCTCACTTCCTCAAGCCTCCTCAGTGCAGCTGAGTGTGTAGGTGCTGAGGTTCACCCATCAGAGCCTGAAGGGCTCTAAAAGAGCATGATGTCTAGTGCCCTCCTTACAGGTGGGACTCCTGAAGCCCGAGGGCAAGGGAATGGCACAGGGCACCCGGAGTTAGTGGGAAAACTGGGGGCATATTCGCATCCTGGAATACACAGCAACTGCCCAACCTCACAGTAGCCAGTATTTCTTTAGCTGCTACAAGAGTAACAAGTAACGCGTCTCCGCTCACTGTGTCCGAGGCCACTTGCTTTCCAGTATCTCATTTAATCCTTGGCACGACCTTATTGCGTCCAGCCAGGATCGCCACTCTGTCTGGCTCGGAAGCACATGTTCTTAGCCATTCACCTGCTGGGGTTCCTGGTGATCCCCCTGTCCCCCTTTGACAGTATGGGACTGGACCTGGTTAACTCCGCAACCTCAAGGAATCTCCATTTTGCTCCTTTTCCCTCATTAATTATTGAGGTGATACATGAAGTTGTTGTGGGAATAAAAAAGAAGAATAAAACGCCTGGAATATGCCATGTATATAATGTGTGTGTTCAATAACCACTAGCTATTTCTGTTAATTCTCCTGCTAGTGTCATAGAATAAGCGCTGCTGAAAATCAGAATATCCACTCACTCCTTGTATGTTTTGGTTTTGCAGCCCCAAGATTCAGAGCAATGGAAAGAAGTCACAGAGGGAAAGATTTTGGCTCCATCTCAGGGAGACCCCCGCCCCCTACTATGGCTCAGAAGGTGGGGGAAGCCTCTGGGGGAGTATGGAGGTGCGGCCCTGTGGGAGACACAGGAAGCCTTCCGAAGGGACACTGCGGGGAGATGGTAGTAGCCACCCTCAAGGAGGATGTGGCCCAGGGCAGCCTGTGTCGAATAATGGCAGGGACAGGCTCGACGACTCCGGGGAGCAGCGGCGCTTTCTCTTTGTCTCTGAAAGCCGGCTGCAGCCGGAGCCCTTCTTGAGAGCGTTCACGTCAAAGGCTGCAGCGGGCATTTTGCTGTTACAGTCAGTGTTGGAATCTGATTTCACCCGGTCCTGAAGATGGACTCGGTTGGAGGGGTTCATGGGAAAGGGCTGCAGCGCGCGTGTCGATCACCGAGCACGTTTACAGATCGACTCTGCAGAGGTGAACTCGCGCTTTCAGCGCATTCATCAAAGCCTCGGGGGAGCTGACCCTGTCCCTCCTCCTTCCTCCCCCGGGCCCGCGGCGCTCGGCTCCAGGTCAGCCCGCAACTTCCCTCTCGCCTGTCCCCCGCGCCCCCGGCCTCAGGCTCGTTTCCTCCAGACGTGCCGCTGTTTGCCAACCGCGGCCAGCCACGAAAATGGCCCTTTCCTTTCATCTCTGGGCAGGGCTCCATTGCAGGATCAGCTAAGTGGGAGGGCAGACGGCGGTTCCGACAAACAAGTTCCGCCAAGGCGACGGGTGCCGGACCGCGGGTGCCGGGTCCTGGAGCCGCAGCTAGAGGGACCCCCTTGGTGACCGGGGGGACACCAAGGCCAGAAGGGGAAGAGCCCTGTTCAAGGTCACCCGGCTGGCAGAACGCACCAGGCTTGTGCGCCGCCTCGGGTCCTGCGCCGGGCCCTAGAGGAGTCTGGCGCGCCGGGTGGAAATCACTGCATACCCTTGTTGCCAGCGCCTCCGTCTCCCCAGCCACTGTTGACTCACTGCTCCGGGCCCGCAGGGACCACCTCCGAGGCTTCCCTTTCGAGGGAGTGGTGTGAAGGGGCCCGCGAGTCGCGGGCCAGCGCTGGCCGGGACCCAGACAGCCTAACCTGCTGGGTGCCCGCGGGCTCCGCCCCTCAAGCTCCAGCCCCGCCCGCAGGTTGCCGTCCCGCCCCTCGTGCATAGGCCCCGCCCCCGAGACTGCAGGCTCGCCCCGCCCCTCGCACCACAGTCGCTGTCCCACCCCACCTCACCTCGTCTGCGTCGGGCACGCCCCGACGCCGGAGCTCGCGCGCGCCCCTCCTCCTCCCTCCCGGGGCCGCGCCGCGCGCGCGCCGGTTCTGGGCGAGGCCCTGCAGTAGCGGCAGGGTTCCTCCCTCTTCTGCTCCTCCTCCTCCTTCCCGGCTCCTCCCCGATCACCCCCTCGGGCGCTCTCGCGCTAACTGTGCTCCTCTGGGCCCCGTCCGCCCGCTCCCAGCCATGGTGGCCTGGCACTCGGCGTTCCTCATCTGCCTCGCTTTCTCCTTGGCCACTCTGGTCCAGAGAGGTAAGGCGGGCGGGGGGCACGCGGGGACCCCGCCCTCTGGGCCCGTGGGGCGGGGGCCCTGCGCCCCGCGGGCCCGGTGGTGCGCATGAGCGGTTCGGCCCCCGCCCGAGGGCCTGCTGCGGAGGCTGCCGGCGGGCAGGCGGGGCAGTGCGGGAGGATGGGGCGGGGGTGCTAGCCCCGAGCCCCGCGGGGGCAGACCCTGCCGCAGCCCATGTGGCCGGTGGGGAGGGACCTGGACCCCTCCTGGTGCTGGGCTAGAAACAGCGGGATACTCCTCCCTTAAAATCCTGAACAAGGTGTCTCCGCCGGTGACAACACCTGTTCCCAGGAGATTGCCGTTGGAAAAACCTTGAAGAGAGCGCTCATTCCCTGAGCAGGGCTTCTCAAAATGTGTTTCCAGGCCACCTGCAGCAGAAGCACCTGGCGAGCTTCCTGTGCTCACTCCTGCTTTGTCAGGATCTCGGCGGGGATGGGGGGTGGACGGGGAACGGCGGTGTGTAAGTCTAACCAGTTCCCCAGGAGCTTCTGGTAGCCGCCCCAGTTTTCGAGCCATTGGTGTTATTTTGCCAAGGAGGAGGAGAGAGAAATTCTACCAAATCAAGGAAGCAAGTTTCTTAGACCCTCGCTACTCAAAGTGTGGTCCAAGGCCCGCAACGACATCTCTTGGGACTTGTTAGGAAAGCAGCATCTCAGGCCCCGCCCCTGACCTACTGAGTCAGATTCTGCATTAACTAGATCCCCGGGTAATTCGCAGGCACATTTAAGTTTGAGAAGCATCTTCTTAGAATAAATGCAGTCTGTGGTTAAAAATAGGGTCGCCAAGGAGTCCCAGCAGAATCTTCTTACACTTAACTTACCTCATCTCCACATCAGAAAAAGAGGTTGAGGAAAACACTGCAGTTGAGCACAGAATTGTGCTCTGAGCTTCCTGACACAAAGGCAGATTCAGCTAGTTAAAAACATGAGCTCAGCAAAAACAAAACCGTGTCCTATAAGTGCGTTCTAGTGAGGGTTATGTTACTTACTTATAAGGAACACTGGAAAACACTAGACAGTCCAAGGCAGTTTTGCAAAAGATGTAGAAATGTTTCTCATGCGGGCAGCCCTCCTGGAGTCTGTACAAGAAGAGCCATTCAGCATTCAACAAAGGTGCCAGGCTCTGTTCTAGACACTGATGCTGCAGCCGTGAACAAAATTCAGGCTCTGTCCTCGTGGAGCTGACATCCTGATGCGGGAGAAAATAAGTGCAAACATCCCAATCTATATAAGTGCAGTGAAGAATAATAAAGCAAGTTACAGGGTTGTTGAATTTTGTTTCCTTTTTCCCTTTGGGGTTAAGATTTTTATTTTGTTTATGATGCATTTGTGGGGAAAAGTATGATCACTTGATTAACTTGCATCTAATGATATGGGACATTTGAAAGTGGAAGCGCAAAAAAAGTTCAAAAAATGATGCTCCCTTCAAGGCTGTCTTCTGCAAGTCTTCAACATGGTAGGCACGTTGAGAAGGTGAGGAATTTAAATGATGAGGTGTCAGGTTTTCATCATCACGGGTTACACTAGGTGATTTACAAAGTGGTGGGGGAAACGGCAAATGGGTGCAGCCCTTTTACAGATGAGGAAACGGAGGCGCACAGAGGCGAAGTAACTTGCCTCAGGTGGCAAAGCTAAGATTTGATTCCAGGCTTGTCTGATTCCACTGCCCTTGCTTTTAAGTACTAGGCATAATGCCTTTACACCTGGAGGCTGCCCTCCTCCTACACCTTACTGGCCAAGTGGCCTTGGGAAAGTGCTCTGAACTTGGTTCGGTTTGCTCATCTGTATAAGGCCTAACAACTCATAAAGGTATCTCGAGGGAACCAGGCGTGTGTCACCCTCAGATTTGCAGCCTTGCCACCAGCTACCGTCTCCTGAGTGCTTGCTGTGTACCACTTCACATACATATTTTTTAGTTGCCCCAGGAGTTTGGCTTGTTAGGTATAATCCCCGCCTTCCAGATGAGGGACCCCATGTCACATAACTCGGAAGGATAGAGCCAGGATCCCACCCATTTAAGATTGCTAGCCAGTGATCTTTTAAAATTTTAATGAACGCTGAACCAGAAGAAGCTTTTGCTTCAAGGTAGGGCCCCAGTTTCCTGGATCTTTTGTGCAGAACAACCTGACAAATACCAGTTTTGCATTGGTCCCCTCTGGGGATCCAGGCAGTTACAGTTTCAGAGCTACTGTGTCAAAACGAAGAAACACAAAGCAGGTCTCAGGTACCCACTGGCTCTCCGGGAGCCCCCAGGTGGTGGATCAGGTGGGTCTGCCCAAGAGCCACTTTCTTCTTGGTCCTGGTCCTTGGTAATGAGGTGTGACCTAGAAAGCCTGGCAGGCCTCAGGAGACACTCAGAGCCTCGAAGCACGATTGTGAAATCCGCACAGACTCGGGCAAGCTGAGACAGATTTTAGGCTCCCAGGAGTTTAAAAGGTGGTTAACAAGTCATTCCTGTTCTAATTACAGATGGGCTTTTAGTTCACTGTGTATTTTACTAGTTCTGAAAAATCGTCTGAGGACAGGTATGTCACCTGTCTGCACCTACAGAAATGGGAAGCTGTGCTTTTGACTTCCGGGGAGAAGAATCTCAGTGGTACGGGTGGGTAACAGTCATACGAGGGCTCCACTTCCCCAGTGTCTTCCATGCGCCAGGCCCTCAGTGCCTCACACACGTTTACACCTCCTAACTACCCTGAAAGCTTGGCACTGTGACCCATCTTGTTTCCTGACGTTCGTAATGGCTGTTTGCATACAGCCTTGAAAAGTAACTGAGTTGTAACCCATAACTCAGATGAAAAACGTGGTCCAGCGAGGTTTTGGACTTGAACCCAGGTTTATCTGAGTAACCAAAGGAGGGGTCATAAATGCAGATATATCCAGGGATGGGGCAGGTGACAGAAATGTGAGCCGTGGCCAAGAATGTGTGATGAGCCTGTTGGCAGATCTCCAAGTGCCTGCTCCTTTAAAAGAGAGGTAGCCCGGCCAAGAGGGAGAGTGCCAGCTGCGGAGCAAGCCTGCCCGGCGCTACCACAGTGCAGGGCAAGTCACTAACTGCTTGGTGCCTCAGTTTCCTCATCTGGAAAATGGGGATAATACCACCATCCGCCCCATGGGGTTGTTACTAGGATTAAATGAGTGCAAATGGATAAAGTACTTAGCACAACTCCTGGCTCCGAGTGAGCTCTGTGCTAGTAACTATTATTCCGAGCCACATTTAAAAAATACAGTGCAAACCTTGAAAGTATTATGCTAAGTGAAGGGAGCCAGACACAAAAGCCCACATATTGCATGATTCCGTTTATATGTAATGTCCAGAGTTGGCAAATCCATAGAGACAAAAAGTAGGTTAGTGGTTGCCAGGGTCTAAGGGGAATGAAGGGTGACTGCTTAATAGGTACCAGGTTTCCTTTTAGGGTGATGGAAATGTTCTGGAACTGGATAGAGGTGGCGGTCGTAGAACCTTGTGAATGTACCAAGAACCACTAAATTGTACGCTTTGAAAGGGTGAGTTGTATGGTATGTGGATTATATCTCCGTTTAAAATAAATTCACTGTGGGCTTCCCTGGTGGCGCAGTGGTTGAGAGTCCGCCTGCCAATGCAGGGGACACGGGTTCGTGCCCCGGTCCAGGAAGACCCCACATGCCGCGGAGCGGCTGGGCCCGTGAGCCATGGCCGCTGAGCCTGCGTGTCCGGAGCCTGTGCTCCGCACGGGAGAGGCCACAACAGCGAGAGGCCCGCGTAATGCAAAAAAATAAAAATAATAAAATAAAATAAAGTCACTGCAGTCCAAGCAGAACAAATGAGGGAGGTGGCAGCATGTGACCCCTGGGTTGGGGTTGGTCTTCAGGGCCCGAGTTTGGTCGGGCCAGGAAGAGCCAGAGCAGAGGGGGCCCCGAGTGCTGGTGGTGCTGGGATCCAGGCAGAAGCCCTGTGGGCTGACTTGGGCTATTGGGTTTGAGCCAGACAGACCCCTGGGGCACCTGCAGGATTGGCCCAGAGCTACTTAACCCTGCTTGCCTGAGTGCAGCAGTGGCCCCTGCAAAGGTGCATCCTGGGCAGGGGGGACCTTCCCTGTCCTGCATGGCTCAGGGTTGCCCCTATGCACCCGTCATTGCAGTGGACTGACAGGGTCTAGGGACTGTTTGCCTTTTAGTCTCACCTGTTTTGACTGGTTTGCAGCCCCTTCCTCACTGTCAAAGGTCACATCCCATCCCCTCCATCATTTTGGATACCAGGTAACAAAAATGTATGTGTTTTTTAAACACGTGCACACACAGAGAAATCACCCAAGAGTCAGTGTCAGCAGGCACTGGGGAGGGTCCTCCAGCAGAGGTGATGACGATAAGGGTGATGAGGCTGTTTGGCAGCTCGCAGGGGAGCAGCTGATTTTGGTTTTTGTGAGTTCAGGAAAGATCCTTTCCAGGCGCACTGACTTTCCCGTTCTGGGTTCTTCCCCCGCCTGGTGTTGGTGCTTTTCCTGCTGTGTGTCCACTCCTCCCCTTTGCACTCGCTATGTATTCCTCTGCTGCTCTTGGTGTGTGTGGGGGAGGCCCGGCTCTGGAGGTTCCTGTTCCCCGACCCAGGCTCGACCCTCCCTGAGGCTGGCTCACAGGTCCACTTACTGGCCAATCTTGGTTTGCATATAAAAGCCTAAAGTCATCCTAAACGCGTAATAGAAACAGGGGAGAAATCTTTCACGCAGGTCAGTGTTCCAAATGGCCCCCAAAGATGTCCATGCCCTAATCTCTGGAACCTGTGACTATGGGAGGTTACATAGTGATTTTGGCCGGCAAGAGGACCTCAGTCTTTGTCTTCTTTGAGGAGAGAATTCAGCAAAGAGACTAAGACTGCAAAGCAGGTACAGACTTTATTAGAAGCACAGTACATGTGGGAGAGCACACAGGCAAACTCATGGAGTAGGGGTAGCAATGCCTTGCACTCTGGGGTATCTTAGGTAGTT